AAATATTTATGAAGAAAGCAAAAGAAGAGGAGACAGAAGATTCTTGACTCTTTTGTCATAGCATGGAGGACCGTCAGATCACAATTTAATATAAGATGTTGAAGACTGCATGATGTAGAGAATCTTGATCACCAAAGCCAGTGTGAGAACTTTACTGTAAGTGAGGTATTGCAGTGACAATACTGACAATTGATTCCAGATGTATTTTAGAGATTACAACCAGAATCACAGACAAAGTTAGCCTTTTCCCAAATATGTATATTCCCCAATAAAAACAATGTTAGCTGCAATGATAGAGTGTTTAAATTATGAATAGAAGCAGACAAGGTGAGAAATATTTTATAGTGATTCAAGTGTGGTTTCTAAATAAGTTGCAGAGAATACTGTTTTTGTGTATAGATATATTGTTGTGATAATCTAGTGGAGAAGCATTGATAATACATGTGTTAACACTTACACCCGAAACTTTGTCCATAAAGAACAGTGCCCAGGGGTCAAGTGAGTTTCACAATGAGCCGAGTTTAAGCCCAAAGCATAACCGACGTGGTATCCATGTGTCTACTTGGTAAAAACTCAGACACACAAAACTCGGGCAAGTCTCATGGAGAGGAGAGTTCATACGAAATGTTCCTACTATGAGGATGTGTTCTGGCTCACAACTGTATGTTGTGGAGACTTAGTGCAATTTGCAAAGTCTCAAGCCAGTTTGCTATGTTGTGCCTTTAAAATTTAGTTTATTATTCAACAGCAAGACCGAGTGTGTATAATTCGGACAGTGTCAGTTTTTTACTAGCCTGATTATAACTCGTTAGCCAGCTTGTTTGTAGTCACTTGAGGCAGTGTATCAGCTCATGAGTCTTTTGACCATAGCCATAATTTGTCGCGTCTCTAGAGCGATGCCTGTTATTAATTCTCTAAGGATGCATGTACTAGTGTTATGATGTAAGCTCTTATGTGCCAGTGCATTATGATGATTACATTGTGAAATGATATGCATTTTTGCATCCTTATTTGTGCCTGCTTGTAGGCATTAACATTTTGTCTCTTTAAATATTATGTACTGAGAGCCCGAGTCAGTATCTATGTAGAAAATCCACCCAATGCAGATTAAAACCTCATATCTTCAGAATGACAGGCAAACATCGAGTCACTGCACCACTGTGGCTGTCAGTCTCCAGGACAGCTTTGTCAAGCAGTTTGCCTTGTGCTGTGAAGGTCTTGGATTCAATAAACAGACAAGTTGCTGCGTTCACCTGTGCAGTTGTTAGGGAATCCTGGGGATTGTCACATGGAGATAATGGAGTTTGTGCTTAGTTTGATGCTAGCAGACGGCCAGCCATTCTGCAGTGAGAGAGGTAGGTAGTTGTACCCCACCAGGACATCACACAAATGATAAACACCCAATGATACAAACTGCCACCATGCAGATGAGGATCATCCGTGGAGAGGTTCCAGAAACCCCTTCAGCCATTAGGCCATATCTATGCCCCGGCTATATTCAGGGCCCCCAGACAGAAGCCAGTGTGAGGCTTGAAATGACAAAAAAAAATTTATTCCACATGGGGACGACTTTATTAGTAGCTAAATTAGCATGAAACCATATGGGATAAAATCCAATGCAATAAAGTCAGTCTACTTGACTTTGACTTTAATTATTGCGCAGTTTATAACTTATTCAGATGTGCGAAGTGTTTCCCCATCATTTATTGTTAATTTTATCAATATTTTAACACAAGATAAATTGTGTTTGTGTGTGTGCATGCGTGTGTGTGAGAGTGCAAGAGAGAGAGAAAGTAGGAATTGTTAATTACTTCCCTTCATTTCCAGATGCTGCCATTGTATCCTATGTTACTTCAGTCCCTGGGTTTCCTGAAAGATTGGGAAGCAAAAAAGATGAAAGAAAATATTATAAAAGCAAAGAGCAAGCCACCGGTGGAAGGAGTAAAAGTAAGAATTGTTAATCTTCTTCCTTCCATTCTCCTTGCTAGTGGTTTTCAGATGAGAAGACCACAGGCCTCTGTGAAGTCTGTCACGGGATGCAAGTCTTCCGCTGATACAAGCAGCCTGGTTTCCATCAGAATGTCAGCTGGACCTGGGATATAACTACTGTATATACTGAGCATGTCTGTAGCACATGCTCAGTATTCTGTGGGTGCCTCTCCACATAGGTAAAGTTCTCACTAACCTTGAATTTCTTATGCTTGTGTTAGTCTGTTGTGTCTAGGTCACAGTCTAAACATTACCATGGTCTGTTGCTTTTGTGTGAGGAGGTTAACTGGATCTTTAGGATAGTGTTCTGTGTGGGAAGTGTTCACTGAATTCTAATGGCTGCCTTGTGCAGGGATTCACTTTCCTCATATGAGAATTGCCTATAAAACAATGATTTATAATGTGAATTATTTTTTTTCATGTCCAGTGATCTACGTAGCCAGTTTTGTCAATAAGTTTAACTGTTAGCCAGAGACTTAACCTTTAATCCATAACAGTTGGTAACCTGTCTGTCATGACAGTTAAATTATTAACTAATCATACCCGCTCGGTTGAATTATTAATTAATAATTACCGCTCGGTTGAATGATTAATTAATCATTACCAGCTCGGTTGAATTGTTAATTAATAATTACCCGCTCATTTGAATTATTAATGAATCATTGCCCGCTAGGATCGCAGGCTATTTATGTTAGTTATGTGTCCTTTACAGGATGCAGAACCAGTTCAGGCATTTTCTGCCTGTTTTTCTAGGCAAATTTACATTAGTAGTTTGTCATTGCTATCTGAATGGTTGGAACCGATGCAAGCTGTCTGTTGTCAAATTGCCTGCAGCTGGGATAGAACCCGGCAATATGAAGCACATTTGCAACACCTAAGCCACAGATGCCGACTGAAGCCATTATGGGTGCCTCAGTTATAACCTATTTGTCCCTGTGTGGGTTCCGGGGCCCTATTATAGGGAAAACAAGAATAGACCCACTGCCTGCCCAAAAGCATGTCGTAAGAGTCGACTAATTGGGAGCTTCCTTTGAAGTTGGAGTGCATCTGCTTGAGAGGCAAGGAACCAGCAGTCTGCATACAAATGTGTCAGATCTGTAAAACGGGTGCACACACAACACTCAGGTTCTGGAACAGGACTGCAGTACTGAAGTGGATGAACAACCAGAACTTTCCACCAGAGTTTACAGCTGGTGAACGCGAAGAAGAAGAATCACCTATATGGAGACTGTATGGGGTAACTCAGAGATGTTTAACAGAAGAATCACCTATATGGAGACTGTATGGGGTAACTCAGAGATGTTTAACAGAAGAAGCACCTATATGGAGACTGTATGGGGTAACTCAGAGATGTTTAACAGAAGAATCACCTATATGGAGACTGTATGGGGTAACTCAGAGATGTTTAACAGAAGAATCTTTAGAATGTCTTGGACAGCTAAGAGAAGCAACCCAGATATTTTGAAAGAGACAGGTGCTTAAAGACAGCTTATCACAGACATCAGAAAGAGACAAGTCATAATTTTGTTGTCACGTTATGAGAAGAGGGAAAATGGAACATGTTGTAACCACTGGAAAGATTTGTGGAAAGAGAGAGAGGAAGATTGTGCGAGAAGATTCTTGACAGCCTTCTGTCATGGCATGGAGGGATGTGAACACATGAACTGATACACGCAGTTGCAGATCCTGGAGAGGCATTCTCACCCACACCAGTCAGCAAGGCACTTGACGATGATGATAGGGTAACTGATCTACCCTGTTAGTTTAACATCCACATCGAGGTTTTTCTAATCACAGGCTGGTCAGAGCTTCAGGCGCCAGCCTAAAGAGGTAACAGACGACAACTACTTGCTCAGTATTTCTCAAATGACTCACCAACAGTTTAACAGGCTGTTATTTTAAAAAAGTAAAGAAATTTCAGCAGAAGTGGAATTCTTATTTTATTCATTACTTTTTGAAAAAAGGAAGCATCAACCAACTTCATTTGAGAAAAGTAATGTTTGTACTCTGGTTTCTGCAACATGCTTCAAAGAGTAAACGTTTTTGATGCCCTGATTAAAATTTAGTTTTTCAGCCACTATCTGAAAATAATTTGATTAGTCATTTGGAAGCTTCTGTGGAATCGAAATTTAGGCGCACAAATACAAAGGAAGACTTTGTGCCCAGTATAAATAAATATAAAATACTAGGAAAAGCCATGAAAAATAAAGTCATCCACATGTTGTGGATATCACTCAGTGAAGCCCCAGTTGGTCTATGAGAATAATATGGGTCTAGCACCATATGTCTAGTGTGTCAATGGCTGATAAATATGGGGATAAACTGCTGGGAATTGACCATCTGACCATTGCCTGGGTAGGCAAGGATACCAACCACGTGCTGAGTAACTTGAGCTGTTTCCATTTTGATATACAGGACATTGGAGATATTGTCTTCAGTAAAGTACAAAAGAAACTGGGTTATAAGGAGCTGGACAATGCGTTGATCTCAAAGGTAAGTGGAGTGTACGTGTTCGTGGATGAATTGTTCAATCAATATTTTACTTTTATTTGTTATAGGAATACATAAAGTTACTGAACTCACATTCTGTTTATCAGAGAATAAATGTTTAATGGCTCTTTTCATACCACTTGTCTCCACAGTTAAGTCTTCACTCCCTTATCAGCAGTTCTGTTACATGGTACATCAGATTGAAGGGGGACTGTGTCCGTATTTGCAATCTTACATTCAGTAACATGATTTTCACTTTGGGCCAAAAAAATCTACTATCAACGTGTAAGACACACACTGTTTTTCGAACCTAAATTTTGGAAAATAAGCGTGCCTTAAGCTTAAAGACACACAGTACTTGATTTCCTCATCTTTTCCACTGCCTGCATAACCTATTCATGTAACAGATCAGGCAACAACTTGCACCATCAGTAGGGAAGCTTTTTTCTTGGCTACTGAAGATCAAGTGTGGAAATAAGTAAAATGTCAGTTCTTGATTCACTCATTCATTTACTTTTCAGAACTATAACTGGAAGTTTCCAGATTTCTTGAACCAAGCTGAAACCCAAGCTGCCATTCATGTCAAACCAACAGAGTACCATGAATTTTGTGCCCTGTTCCAGGACATGGCTGCAGATTTCTTTGATGGCGTTACCAAGGAACTGTCTATCATAATGGAGAATTACAAGGTAAATCTGCATTTGTGTACTGGGGCCTGTAGGGAAAGTATGTCTACAGCAATGGCTTTCATCCTTTTTTCAGGTGGCTTGCCTTGCAGCATCACGGTAGGAAGAGATCTCTGGAACTGGCCCTTGTGCTTCGTATAAAGTACTTTTGGGTGTCTCTGATATTTCTGCAGTCCATCTTCTGCGTGATGGACCTCTGGCTCTGTTACCTCTGTATCTGAATAACATTGCTCTCTGTGGTGCCCTGTCTGATGCCATTTTTGTTACATGACCAAACCATTCGATAAAGTTCAGTAGTCGATCTTTCCTTGTTACACCCAGCATAGTACATAAACATTTAATTTCTGTCATGACTATTTTCCTTCTGTCTACTGAAGGTAGTGTCCTTGTTTGACATTGACAGCATAAAGTTGGTCAGAATATTGTGTTGAACAGTGCTTTTTTTAAGTGTTCATAATCATGTGCTTGCATTTCATAATTGGTGCTAAAACTTGATTGGCTTTATTGCATCTTTGTGGATTTCTTCATTAATTCTTCTATCTTCTGAAGAAAAAAATACGCTACCCTGATATGTAAAGTCGTTCTCCTGTGATAATATAACTTAACATGTTTCACTGTGAGACTGTTGTACTGCTGTCTAAATGTGGCATGAATGGTTTTTGTGTGTGTGTGTGTTAAATAAACAGTCAGCCAGGGAAACTGAATGCTGGCGCGTCAAGGAATAAGAGGCATAAACAGCACATTAAAAATGAGAATCGTCAGATAAGAATACTCAGCCTTGCTATGTGGTTCAGAGATCTGGGCATTACACAAACAATTGAAAGTCCCAACAGAAGAATAGAGCCTATTTTAAGGGAACGAAAATATTAAAATACAGAGGTTTTGGAGAGACTGGGAGTGCAAAGACAGTTGTTGAAAGAAATTTAAAAGAAAAATTGTGAAGTATTTTAGTCATATTAAAAGACAGAAGAACACTTTATAGAATCTACCAGAGTGAAAAGTTGAAGGCAAGAGGTAGACAGCAATACGAGTGGGAGGATAATATCAGGATCCACAGCAGAGAGGGTACAGTTAGAATGTGAAACATAGCACTGCAGCCAACCTTTATTGTGAAGACAATACCTGAGTCATTGACAGTGAAAGCAGAGTTCACGTTTAGTTGATGCTGTCACGTAACACTTCTGGAAAAAAGGAGGGGTCATGACTCCGTGGCGATTCAGTTCCCCCAACCCCTCACCCCCAATCCTCTCTCTTTTTTTAAAAAACTCTTTCAGTCCCAGAGGTTTAGCATCAGAGGCCCTAGGGGTGTTAATACAATTTTTTTTAATTTCCAAGTATAACACATTAAAACATACTATACAAATTCAGCTGCCGTGCAGCATACACATATAATACATCAAAGTAACCAGGGATTGTTGGCGAATAATAAAAGAATACTACTACAACAAATAATTGCATTAGTAGATAAATATTAGTAAATAAACAGACAGTATGTTTACAGAAATTGGTAAAATAAAATGATAATTTTTCCACTGGTGAGTGTGTGCATGCTTAGTCCATTACATATCACAAACCTAAAGCACCATTTGTAACTTCTTTTTCATCAGCAGTTCTTCTTGCCTCGTGGAGAACCATCTTAGTGGACACAAGAATTCTGATTTCTCTTTAAACCACATCTTTAATTCCCTCTCCCAATGAAAACCACACAGAATGTCCGCCACTGTTCCCTCTGAAAAGCATTCACACAGATTGCAGGCTCAGCACAGTAGCATACACATACATATTAGATTCATAAGTCAGCCATCAGAAGTGCCAACACCAACAGTCCGATATTAGAACTAATTTATTTCGATGGAAGCAGCAGTTACAACAGATCAGTAATTGCACACGTAGTTAGTCGCATAATGAAAACAGCACTGAATCTAGAAGTGGGGGAAATCAGTGTGGGGGAAACATCTTCAGATTTGGCTCCTGGAAAGTTAGGAATGTGTCCACCTTTTATGATGGGGGGGGGGGGGGAGGGAGGGAAGGGGGGGGGCAGTGGGTCTATTCTTCCCCCGAACCAAATGCAGGCAGATAATTATTTTAGGATAGGTCAATAAGGTTTATCTCTTTATCTTTTACTGGACTATGGGCTAATTCAATTTGTTGAAAGGACAATAATATCACTTCCTGAACTGGACAGGTGTTACTCTACAACGGACAGTATGACCTGCTAGTCAGTGTTCCCATGACAGAAGCTCTGCTCCGAGATCTGCCTTGGCGCGGCAGGGATGAGTATGTGGCAGTGAAGCAAAAGAAGTGGTTGGCTCGGGATGGAGATGTTGCCGGATATTTTACCAGAGTGAACAATTTCACCAGGGTAAGGCTTAGTTGTTCTTCATCTTGGTCAATTTTATTCTTCATTTTGGTCTTCAGATTTATTTTGTTCTTCATGACAATCATTTTGGTCTTCACAGTTATATTGTTCTTCATGGTGATCATTTTGGTCCTCACAATTTTTTTTCCGTCATTTTGGTCCTCACACATTTTTTTTGCCCGTTCTTGACTATCATTTTGTCTCCAATGCTAACAGCTTGTTAATTACATTTTTTTGAAAATTTATTTTGGCCAATTTTTGTTGCTTTCAGATCAGGTAATCGCAGTTTTAACTTTATAGGAAATGGGTCACTCTATTGTTGTTTTGTTCCTGTGCCAACGAAAGCCACACAGAATATCCATTGTTGTCCCTTGTGCAAAAATTGATACAGACTAAAGTTTCAGCATATCCAATAGCCTCCTCACTCATTAATTGTATAAAGCAGCCATTAGAAGTGCCAACACAAACAGTTCACCACTAGAAATGCAGTTTATCATTAATAAAAGCAGCAGTTGCAACAGATCAGTAGTTGCACATTCGAATAATCACATAAGGCACCATCAGTTCTGTGACAACAGGCCACTCCCCATTTTCTGAATCTACAGTTCACAATAGTTTGGTCTTGAGTTATCCTTCTCTTCACTGTCACCAATTTGTTCTTCATTATTGCTATTTTACGCTTAACTGTGTCATTTTGTTTTTCACTAAACCCTTAGAGTCCCAGAAGGGTTTACATATATTCCCAAGAGGCACAATAACCACACAAAACAATTGCAACTTTTATTAAGCAAAGTGCACGGTGACAGGAGGGTAACCATATGAGAAGGCACATTTCACTAGCATTCTCTGACCAAATGTGAACAGTGAAAATACAATATGTGATTGTTGGGATTCAATGAGAACAGCGCTGACATATGCGTTGTTTGGGACGCAACCAGTTACAAAGATATAAATTGGTGTGTGTGTGTATATTTATTTTTATAGAACCAATTGGCGCTTGATGGGTGTTGTATGTGTGTGTGTGTGTGGGGGGGGGGGTGGTTTCACTGGTTGTAAACTCTGAACTCTGACAGAAAGATCTGGCTGTCTGTCCACTTCTGGATGTTAATCTCATTCCACATGCACATCCATTTTACAGATCTGGCTTATCTGTATGCAGACTGTTGTTCCTCTTCTCAGGCAGACGCACTTTGATTTCTAAGGAAACACTAGTTAGTCAGGGTGCCCCCTCCCCCCCTATGGGAACCCGCTCCATATATGTGGGGAGAGCGGTTACATTGTATCACATTCCGCCTCCCTTTTTACCTTGGCTGGCTTATTTATTTTCCAGTTCATGCCTGGTTGTCTGTGACAGTGTCTGTTCCTCAAAACTTTTTTGTTTACACCTGCAGCCCAAAGAAAATAGAAGATAAGGTTTTTGCAGCTCACCTGATAGCTTACCAAACACAGCTATGTAGATAGTAGTATATTGACACAAAATTACAGTTGTCAGCTATTGCAGCATCTGCTGTTACTTAAAGGATTTTTAGCTGTTGCAACATCTGCTGCTTAAAGTATTTTCATCTATTGAAACTGCTGCTGCTTGAAAGCTTGAAAATCTGAAACACATGGCTGGAGCCTTGTTTCTGATAGATAAATAGCTGCAATAGCATCATCAAACTTCAATTTTATTTTTATTACTGACAAAGTCATTTCATACGGATAGGAAGTCAAAAACATGACCATCATTTTGATAGTTAGAGATATGGATGTTTTTGATTGATTCAACCCTACCAAGACATCACACTGAGTGACAAACATCCGGTGACACAAAGTTCCACCCTTCAGATGAGAAACCTGGGGACAGGTCCCACAAACCCCGTTCAACCGTTAGGTTAAATTAGGGCCCGAAACAAAACCGGGGTGGATGTTGTTTTTATAGTGAGATCCAAAATTCAGCCAATGACTGTATTTTTATATCTGCACACAAGTTTTACATCAGAAGATCAGCTTTAAATGGCATTTATTATTTTGAAATAATACTTTCTTGTCAAAATGAGCAAAAATCTATTTGAAAAAAAAAAGTCCTATTAGAGTTCACAGTGAAAGGAAATGTAGAATTTGTGACTTGGGAAGAATTTTCCTTTCGTATTGTTCCTCCAGTCATTCTGTGATTGCAGGTGGTGGTGAGAAATGCTGGACACAGAACTGCCATCGACCAGCCAGCCTGGATCCATGAGCTCATCTGCAAGTTTGTCCATGGCGAAAGCTTTTAGTTGCTTCTGTAGCACTAAACACATCGTAATGATTTGTGCCACGTTTGTAAATAATATAGCCTATGAGTCAGTTAATACGAGTGGAGGGTGAGCGAGCAGGCTAATAGAGGCTAAAGTAAAGGACCCTTTTCCAAGCTTTCAGTTATATTGGGCTAGACCAGTGGCTCTCAACCTTCCTAATGCGGTGACCCTTTAATACAGTTCCTCATGTTGTGGCAACCCCCAAAACAATTATTTTTGTTGCTACTTGATAACTTCAGTAAATATGTGTTTTCCGATGGTCTTTGGTGAGCCCTATGAGAGGGTCATTTGACCCAAAGGTTGAGAACCGCTGGGCTAGACCTACATTTTATAGACCAATCAGCATGCATTGAGTGATGTGGTCAAAG